TGTACAGGCTGAGATGTAATTCTTGGATTTTTTGCAATTTCTCTGAGCATTGCACAGTCTGAGCTTGGGGTGAATTTGCTGGGATGTCCACTCTTGGGAAGAGTGGCAACTGTCTTGAATGCTTTCCACTTGTGAATCATCTTCCTCACTGTAGAATGATGGACTTTAAATTGTTTGGAAATGGCCTTATAACCCTTTGCAGATTGATGGGCAGCAACAATTGCTTCTCTAAGGTCATTGCTGATGTCTTGACTGTTTGGCATTGTATTACCCCACACCTCAATGCTCGAGAACAGCAAACTCCTAAAACTTCAGCTTTTGTAGAGGTAGTCACACTTGCTGATGATCAATTGATCAAGGGCATTTGATTAGCAGCACCTGACTGCTACTTAGCCTCTTCATACCTATGAAACAACAACACATGATATATTACACCATCTCATCATTTATTTTACAAAAAGGAAGCCAAAATGGAGAAGAAACAACAACACATGATATATTACACCATCTCATCATTTATTTTACAAAAAGGAAGCCAAAATGGAGAAGTATATCATGTGTTGTTGTTCATCTGAGGTTGTATTTGCCTACTTTTGAGAACTGCTAAGGACCAGATGATTTTCATTATGTCCTGATACGTAAAACCATAGAACTCAAAGAGAGTCTACTTTCTTTTTCACATGACTGTAGGTGGGGCATCTCCTTCACTCCACTTCTGTAACATTTTCTGCACCATATCCCACCCTTTTATCTTCTCCAACAAACATGTAAACCAGAGTCAGAATTCAGAGGTGACTCTACAGTGACTACATGATTGAGACTCTTACCTCATGGTCAGTGATCATAAGCTTATTGTCATCTTATGGATCTTACCGAGCAAGGAGCAGAACCCACAAGTATCCTGGGAAGAAAGAATGAGCTTTATGTATGACTGGGATGTACTGTGAATGGAGGGTGACTGAAAGCCACAATAAGTATTTCATAGTATGTCCCAATCACACAGAAAACTCATTCGTTTTTCCCAGGATGTTGAAAGCAAAGTTCTAAATAGACTCAGCTATCTGCACAATGTAATGAAGCCCCCAGTTTGATCTGAACCCCCCTTCCTTTATTTTTGTCCTGAGAGATTTTTACCCTGAAATCCCAATACTCCCCCCATTTTGGGCTTCTACAGGATAAGAAACCTTCACACATGGTTAGTACAGGGGAGTGATCTTACTCTCCCCTCCACACACACACACATCCATATATACATGCATACACACTTGTAAATGGGGTTCTTTGTTCACCTTTAATACCAATGTTGCCTATAGGGATAAAGTTCCATTTGGGGGAGACAGAACACCTAAGTGTCCTGTTGAAGGGTTGACAGATCTCATCAGTGTCAATCCCCTTGAATGCAGGAGAAAGGGGATGGCATTTTTTAAAGCAATCAGAACTGGAAAGAATTGCACATCTTTGAAAAAAATTATTTGACAACATTTCATTGCTGTTCTCAGCTCTTAAAATCTTGTCGCCCATGGAATGCTATTTTCCCACTGAATGTTATTTTCACCTTCATTATGTTGCCTTTCAATAACATCCAACCCTTTTCTCTAAGGCATTGTCTGTGAACTCATTTTTGAGGTCCAGGTTTACTCTGCAATGCCTAGTTTTCCAATACTCTAGTTAAAACTGAGTGGCATTCCTCAATCCCTGTCAAACTTCCATGCTTCATTTGAGATCATGTGAAACAGTAAAGAGGTTCAAGCAAAAACTGGTGAATGGTAATGTTGGCTAGGAAGTGGATTAGAAATGCTGGGCTCTGAGGCAGGTTGTGCTGAAATGCTAATAATGCTACAAGGTGTCAGTGTTGTACTAGAAATATAGACAGAGATATGCTATTTCTGTAGTGAATGGTCAAGCATTCCTCCACCCATTCACTAACTTCACTCACTTCAGCCATCTCAACGTTGATAACATGGAATCAACATCCCAAGAGATATTTCTGCTCCATGCTGCACTGGTCAAATTGTACCTGGGACACCATGTCCAGTTCTGGTCCTCACAACAGAAGAAGGATGTTGAAAAACTGGAAAGAGTGCCAAGATCCACAAAAACCTTGAAGGACTTGCAGGCTAAATCCTATGAAGTCCAGTTAAAGGAACTTGTTATGTTTAGCTTAAAGAAGAGAAGACTATGGGGAGACATGATATCAGTCTTCCGATACATGAAGGGATGTCACAGCTAAGAGGGAATAGATTTACTCTCCCTAGCACCTGAGGGTAAGACAAGAATCAATGGGTGGAAGCTTTATAGTGAGGGATCCAAACTTGAAGTAAGGAAGAATTTCCTGACTGTGAGAGCTATGAAGTAGTGGAACAGTCATTAGGGTTCCATCATTAGAAGTTTTCAAGCAAATGTTGGACAGCTATTTGCCCAAGGTGGTATGAGGGACTAGAAGACTTCCAAGTTCCTTTCCAACCCTATGATTCTATCGTCTTCATTTAAGCAAGCATGCAATGGCAGGAACTTAGGGGTAGGCAAGAAGATAAGTCCAAATTTGCCCAGGTAAGATTAAATAGAAGCATTTTAGCCATTTCCCACTCTAAAGGAAAAAAGCAGACAGTTTAGAAACACAAGTTTGGAAGAGGAAAAGGAGAGACCTCTGAGAAAAGAGCCCTAAAGAAGATACTGGAAGCAGAAGTTGAAAGTAGTTGGTCCTTATCATGTCTCCTGAGTCTCAAAACATAACCTTGGATGTTCTAAGAAAGCTGAAAGCAAGTTAAGGTAACATTGAATCAATGTTTTTAACTCCAGGAATTGTTGTTTCAGTAAATACAGGTAACCAAATTCAGTTAGAGCTCTTAACCAAGATATACTTTTTTTAATGTCTCTCATTCTTTAAATGCTTTAAGGCCTTTCAGATACTAGTATAGATACTAGATACTAGTAGTTATGCTAACTGGCTGCAGTTTCCTGTTCTCTGCCCTAGCATGAGGACTTGTATCACTCTTCTTTCTTGGAAGTCATGACTTCTGTGTTCTTAGGAAACCAGCACATGGTCTGCTCTCCAATCTTT